ATTTGAATTTGAAAAATTTCAATGTTTGTGACGTGACTCCGCTTATTATTTATTAGTGCTATTTAATAGGACAATTCATTCTATGTACTTCATTTTTGTTTTGTGGCACGATGTTACACACGATGGTACACTTGCAAAGCTACCATTAGTCGAACTTTAATTTTGCCTATTCTCGTTCGTATTTTACTCGTCATACATATATAAGTAGGAATAACTTTCGCACCGCAAACACATTGCTTGGATAAATTTTCCAATCTGCGCGTACATTCGCTGCGCGTTTCCTTTCTCGTCTCTCGAGAAATGATAATTCATTTCACAGTTTCTAGCCTTGTAGGATTACAGTGGTTCACTGGCCTGTGTAGTAGACTTCAAACACATATATTCATCGCCTGTATAATCATTCGCATGATATATCTATTTTTCGAATCGAGTTGAACGGGAGTCCGCGGTCTCGTTTGTTAAACATCGTGAAACAGAAGGGCAAAAGGAAAACGTACGCTGCGCGAGACACATTTCGATCTCTTTTAACGCAACCTGACGAATATTCTTAATTGACTTTCCCTACAGGGGAAAACGAAAATTAGGTCAAGCTTGACCAACGATTAAAAAAATACTCCACGTCGAGGTCGTATATACGAGTGGAAGAGAACTGAAACCGGTAATTAAATAAACAAACAGATTTATTTTATAACATAGAATATATGTGTGTGTTTGTGTGTGTGTGTATGTGTGTGTGTGTATATATATATTATGTGTGTATGTATGTATGTATGCATGTATGTATATATGTATGTATATGTATATGTATACGATCTCATCGGTGATGCCGAAATATTCGTTCATTGATATAATATATACTAGTAACGAGTGTTCCAAAAAAAAGTTTCTTTTTTTTTTTTTGTTTTAGTCTTAAACATGTGTGTAAGTCAGTGATACAATGATATCTTATAGCAGTTTATGTGCTACGAGTATGCTAAATCGTTGCCGATAACAATTATTCCATTAGATTGACTGAATACGTGAATCTATAGTGACCTTCGTTATTCGATTAAAATCGTTCTCAATTGTCAGTTTTTTTTCTTTTTTTTTTTTTTTTTAAATATTTTTATGGTTTGTCAGTAGCATGGGTATGGTTGGCAGTGGTGGCGTCAGATAGGACGGTCTCCTTGCTAGAGTTAGTGGCGAGCTCCTCTTCCCTGCAATATAATAATGTTACATGGCCAACGAGCCTCGAATCGTTTTTGTGTTCGATTTTGAGAGAGAGAGAAACCCTAGTTTCGTACTGTACGTACAAGGAAGCTTTGTTATGTTAAAAAACACACGCATTATGCATCTTATGTTGAAAGAATGCGAAAAAAAAGGAAGTTCGTTTGAAAAAAATTTTCCGAATTTCCAAGTACCGAAATTCCAAAATTTCCAAAATAAGTACCAAAACAAGTACCAAAGTAAGTAAAAAATACTATCGAAGAAAAGTTATTCACACGCCGCGCGCAACAATCTGATCGTCGGCTGTCGTCTGGTAAAGTTCGACACGAAATGGTTTTACTTCGTGTTTCGTCGTGCGAATTCCTAGGATTTTCCGACAGAGATGTTTCAAAGTAGCAAGAAAGAAAGGAGAGTCTGCGAGACTGCGTCAAAGAACATACAAGTATGAATTTCTTTTGAGTGATTCCTAGTGTCGTTAAAACCAGTCTCGTTCGAAACTCGTTAGAGACTGGCTTTTCTTAACAGGAATCATCGATATCATCTTTTCAACGTGTCAGATACACACAGCTTGTACTTCGAAACTTTATAACCATAATATTTAAGTGTAATGCATAATGTTCAGGCTGTATATTCGTCATGATTCAAACAATGGTGAACAATCGGTAAACAATAGGTAAATAAATAGAAAATTCTTCGCGTCACGCCTTTCATCGTTTATCATAATTTACCTAAGCAGTTTATAAATATAGATAGAAAATATTGATGACATAAATGCTTAATTACTGGCACAGTAAAAAGTCAAACATACACAATAATAAATTGATAAGTAGCACTCATTCTCGATCATAAAAGACAAGAAGAAAATGGCTTCTTATACTATTTCTATGTCGTTTATCAACTAGCGTACGGCTGTCATAAACGTACAAATTTAATAAAATGATTCCGCTAAATTTAAAAGCAACCATAGACCGACTATCGATTAGAGTTCATTCATATATATGTATATGTATATAATATAATATATAGAAGCTGTTAACGATTCATCGAATGTTTCGGCAAAACCTTGTTTCAGCATAATTCATAATAAAGAAACAAAGGGGATAAAAATAAGAAAAAAAAAAGAAAGAGAGAAGAGAGAGAGAGAGAGAGAGAGAGA